TATGTTTGTACTCTCGTTTAGAGGTTCTCAGTATCTAATCATATGTGTGTACTCTCGTTTAGAGGTACTCGGTATCTAATCATATGTGTGTACTCTCGTTTATATATATATATATATGTATATATATATATATATATATATATATATATATATATATATATATATATATATATATATATATATATATATATATAGAGGTTCTCATGTGTTTATCCACACGCTAGGGACAGCTTTATTCATGCTGTTACGTAACTAAGAATGTATCTGTACTCTCGTTTAGAGGTTCTCATGTGTTTATCCACACGCTAGGGACGACTTTATTCTTCATGCTGTTATGCAACTAAGAATGTATCTGTACTCTCGTTTAGAGGTTCTCATGTGTTTGCACACACGCTAGGAACGGCTTTATTCATGCTGTTATGTATCTAAGAATGTATCTGTACTCTCGTTCACAGGTTATCATGTGTTTGCACACACGTTGGGGGTGGCTTAATTGATGCTGTCATGTATCCAATCATGTATTTGCACTCTCGTGCAGGGGTAGCTCTAGCTTATCTGCTATGCGGCCAATCATTTGTCTATTCACTCGTCAGGGTGTCTTTGACCTAGCTGCTAAGCAACCGGTCACACAAACAGACCATCTGTGCTGTGATCCGTGCCTCACATCCATGCTTTCCTTGTCCCGTAGTTAAACACCGTTTCAACACATTAGACACAATACAGCCCTAGCTAAGTTGTTATTTAGTCGGTCACAACCCCAGGCTGTCAGCAGAGCTCTCTGTACCATGTATTCATACTTTTCCGTTCGTATCCTGGTTGCACACCGGCCCAGCACATTAGTGGTGGCTCTGGCTTGACTGACGTGTAGCCAATCACAGCGATAAGTTCTCTACGCTAGTTTACATTCTGCACATCCAAGGTGTCTTCGTTCGTTCACTTGTGGCACACCATTCCAATAACAATAAGCGTGCATGTAGCTTATTTATTATGTAGCCCACCACAGCACCATACCATCAGTACAGCTATCCATACTGCGCATCTGTTGTCTCATTCTTCCTGTTACACACCATTCTAGCGAACACGAGCCGCCGCGGCGCATTCCAGTACGGCCAAGCATGAGACCACACAGCTCGGTGGTATGTGTGCGAGTAACGAGTTAAACGAATGTCACGGGTGTTTTAGTGCTGATAGTTTATTCCAGTACCTAGAGCGACCGTACATGCACTCAGCAGAAAGAAAGGGGGGATCAAGTTTATCATTGCTGCCAATAATCACTACTGCGAATGGCCGTCTCCGGCATTTAATTATGCAGAGTTCACTCTGTAGAACGCACACTGACTCAAAACTACTACCCGTAGTCTGAGAGCTGGGAGTTTATGCCAAAGATCACACTTGGGAAGAAAATCTCAGCTAGTGGACTTGAACCCTAGTAGTCATAGGTTTGGATAGCCTACAGTGACTGCACTAGGGATTCTCTCTCTTTAGCTACAGCTGCAACGAACCGAAAAACTCGTTCCTTTTCAGTTCGCAACAGTTAGCATGCAATTTCCCTACCTACTTCTAAGTCCCCAGTAGACATCCCAGACTATTATTGTACGCATGCTCTTGCATAGTGCAACGTACTTTCACTCACACCGGCTACTGGTTTTGCTATGTTTTCTGTATATTCAACTGTCTGGTCTTAGGTCGCAAGAAAACGAGGAAAGTCACGCAGGTAATTAGTTTATTGGACAGCGATAGTGATGACAGTTGGGGCGAATCTGCATTCACCTCACAGGCCGCCTTGCCGAAAAAGATTGTTAAGCGTGTTGTGAAGCACGAGGAGAAACCAGTTCAGGTTGGCTTTATCGCACTATCTAGTTATGTAGAGATTCGGGTTGACTGAGCAGTAGAGATTCGAGTTGGCTGAGCAATGTATATGTATTTAGGTAACCCTCTTAGAAATACGTTGGCATGTAGGCGGTTAGATTAGGTGCTGTCATGGAACCTTAAAACCAATCGAGTAGAGCACTGTTGTGGCTTCGCATTTGATACGAACGTAGCTCGTCTATGACACATTGCAATCGAAAGTATGAGATTAAATGATACACGCTCAAAGAGTTTCCGCACGAGGGAACTGAGAAATATGTTCATATTATTATACCAGTATGTATATATAAACACACTGATCGGCTGTACAGTGACCGGATGTGCCATTGTTAATGAACCTACCCCCCTGTCTATGGTAGGGAGGGGACTGATGGATCTACCATAAATCTGCCTACTATTTGAAGGGTAAATTCATGTAGGTTCGATTCCACTTGGTGTAAAAGTGTCATAGCGACCATCTTTGTTAGGCGCAATAGGTAGAATACTAGTGCACACTCATATATCGCCTGGAAATTTACCCGTAATGCGTGAAGATGGATAGTATTATTGAACTCAAGAATTTCGATCAAATACGAAAGCAAACCTCAATCCTTTGCGTCACAGATATAGGAGAAGTGTGTACAACTTCATGTGTTCAAGTACTAGATAGTCATTCAAACATCGGACTCTACATACTTGTTTGCACAGGTAGGACCGGACGTGCAGCTGTGGATAGACCGACACGCGCCAACGAGAACGGAAGACTTGGCTGTACACGCCAAGAAAGTGACTGAAGTAAGAGAGTGGCTTACGCGCACATTGGCAAGCAAGGTACGTTGCGGAGAATATCGAATAAGGTATTGGTTAAGCGTTGGATATAGACTTGAAGATGGAATATGATTTTTGTATATAGAATTGATGGTTAGATAAGATATTTGGATTCAAGATGCAGGATTCAAGACTGTAGGATATAAA